ACTCCAAAGAGAAAGGAAAAAATGAAATCGCATCATATGACCCCTTTAATAAAAGTTCTATGTTTTATATATACGCTAAAGTGAGTTTGACGTTGTATTTTGTTGTTGCATTCGAGCAATTGAAGCCGAATTGCCGCTAATTTCGTAAAATGCGCACGGTGCTTTTAAGCTATTTAAAAGTGAAGGAAAGCGAGGAAAAGAGGGAAAATTCAAACGAACAATTGCTTTACGCCGAATTGCCGCTATTTGAAAGTGAAAGTAAAATGCGCACACCGCTTTTACAAGCTATTTAATAGCGAGGAAAAGAGGAAACGCCCCTGTCCCCATGTGATACCGGTATTATCAGTGTTGTCACATGTCGATTAACCGGTGGGAAAATTTCCTCACCGTCACAACCCTAGTGTATATTTCCCTCAACGTTGTTAGGCCATTAGGTTACGCTTATTAGGTTTTATGCTAAACTGAGTTTGATGTCGCACTCAGTGCAAGTTTCCCTGTTTGACATCACAGCGGGAACAGCCCACGGCTAACAAATGGCAGCTGGACAACTGGTTCAAGAAAGTCAACAAGTTGTCCCCAGCTTCTCCGGTGGAGAACAGCAGCACGACGTCAACAAAGTATAAGAAAGAGGGGCGAGAAACCAGCTCCAGCAGGATCTACAGTGGCCCGGGTTCAAAAGACGTGACGCCCTCTGGTGGGCGAGACCTTCGGCCAAACCAGAAGGGGCAAGACAGGCGAAGTCAGAAGTCTCCTGCTCAGAGCGAGGGGGGAAGTCAGGGCGGGCGGCGAGTGGTGGTGGGCAAGAAGCAGCCTAAAAAGCCAGAGAAGCCGCCTGTGGTTGAGGAGCCGAAGGGTGGCCTCAAGGTGGAGACCGAACCCTCGCCCGAGATCCCGCCGCACAGAGTCCGCGCGCCCAACAAAGGCCCCCGCAAACCCAACATCAAGAAGGAGCCCAAAACCTCCTCTCCTCGACCGGCGCAAGACAAACGCAAGAAAACGGCCAGCAAGTCCCGCGAGTTCATAGAATCCGACTCGTCATCGTCGGACTCGGAGGGCAACGAAAGCGTCCCCTCATCTTCGCAGACGCCGAGAGAGCAGTATGCCGAGAACCCGTCTGTCCTGTTCTCGCCCATGCTTTCCCCACTGAGTGACCAAGAAGGGAGGCTGCTGTCCAGACTGGTGGTGCAGATCGACCTCGGTCTGCTGTCCAGAGTGCCTGGTCGAGTCTACAAGGAAACGGAGGTGAAAGCGGAGAGGAGCTCCCCTCCCGAGGGGAAAGACTTCCAGAAACAGCCGGGAGAAAAGGCAGCCAGCAAGGGGAAGAGAAAGCACAAGGTTGGTGGAAGCTGTTTTGTGGGGATTTTATTTTTTATAAAGAAGTCTCTTATGCTCACTAAGGCTACAGTTGCTGTTGTGAGATTTTATTGCAATTTAAATCTATTTTCTATTTGAATATATTGTAAAATGTAATTTATTTCTGTGATCAAAGCTGTATTTTCAGCATCATTACTCCAGTCTTCAGTGTCACATGATCTTCAGAAATCATTCTAATATGCTGATTTGCTGCTCAAGAAACATTTCTGATTATTATCAATGTTGCAAACAGTTGTCCTGCTGAATATTTTTATGGAAACCGTGATACAGTTTTTTCTTTACAAGATTCTTTGATCAATAGAAAAAAATACAGAATTTGTTTTAAAAAATTCTACCAATTAAAAAAAAAAATCGTACTAATCCTGAACTTTTTTTTTTTTTTTTTTTAAATCTTGTTTCTCCCACAGAATGATGAAGATGCTCTCAAACCAGACAGTAAGAAGTCCAAACTGGATGAAAAGTCATCACACAAATCCAGCAGTAAAGAGTGAGTTCATTCTGCTTTAATCCCTCAAATCTTAGAACTGAAAAGCAAATATTAATATTGGTGAACTTCCTGTAATATATTATTTTAATATTTTTTATTATTATTTTAAATCTCAACTAAATTTTCATATACCTTTGAGCAAGCAACTGGAAGATCTTTGCCTTTAAACAGCTGAAATGTCCATCCAAAATGTTTTAGTGAATGGACATCAAATTTTAACAATGTGTATTCCATTGGTGCAAAAAAAGACTCTTATTTTGATTGCCAAGGGACACATTTAAAACAATTCTAGTTACAAAAATGCACCAATGTGTAATATCCTTTTACTTTTATAAACCGGATCACATGTATCTGACCCTGGACCACAAAACCAGTCATAAGGGTCAATTTTTCGAATATACATCATAAATGAATT